GACGATAGGAGACGACCATACAGCGTAGAGAAGAACAGGGAACGGCAGAACTGGCACAATATGGACCTCAGCGGCCAAGGATTGCGTAACCTCGCACCAGCTCTTTTCCGCTACCAGTTCCTCCACGACCTCTTCATCGCCTCCAACAGGCTTCAGAGTCTCCCTCCCGCGATTGGCCAGCTGCGCCAGCTCCGATACCTCAACATGTCGTTCAACCAGATCAAGATCCTTCCCCCAGAACTCGGCATGTGCACCTACCTCAACCAGCTACTCCTCTTCGACAACCAAATCCAGACACTCCCCTTCGAGCTCGGCTCTCTACACTTGCTGGACGTTCTAGGCATCGAGGGCAACCCCATCGACCCGGATATGAAACAGGAAATCATGGAGAAGGGCACCAAGAGCCTGATCAACCTCCTCAAGGAGCAAGCCCCGAGTATGTTCAATCGGCCACGCCTTGTGCTGTCATCAAAAGCTAACCCTCGTTTCAGTTCCGATGCCACCCAACCCGAGAAAGCTCATTACTGTACAAGAAGATGTTTCGCCTACTTTGGAAAAGGTCAGAGTCTTTTCTTGGAACGTCTTGTGCGACAAGTACGCGACACCGCAAACGTACGGATACACGCCCACGGGCGCATTGAACTGGGAATACCGGAAGGACTGCATTTTCAGCGAATTGAGAGAGAAGGACGCGGATCTGTTGTGCCTGCAGGAGATCTCGACGGAGGCGTTCAAGGAAGAGTTCAGCCCGGAATTGGCACAGATGGATTACAAGGGTGTACACTGGCCCAAGACTCGCGCAAAGACCATGGCGGAGAAGGACGCACAGGGTGTGGATGGTTGCGCTACTTTCTACAAGGCCAGCAAGTGGATTTTGCTCGACAAGCAGGTCATCGAATTCGCCGCCATCGCCATCAATCGGCCGGACATGAAGAATCAACACGACGTCTTCAACCGTGTTATGCCAAAGGACAACATCGCCGTTGTGGTATTCCTCGAAAGCCGAGCTACCGGCGCGCGCATCATCCTAGTCAACGGACATTTGGCCTGGGAGTCTGTGCTGGCGGACGTCAAGTTAATCCAGACGGGTATTCTGATGGAGCAAGTCACAAAGTTCGCCGAGAAGTACGTTCGCTGGCCGGCACTCAAGGACAAGAAGCCCATCGTCTTCTCTGCTACTGGCAAAGACGGGGAGGAGCCACCGCCGCCGGCTAAGGAACCGGGGCCCAGCCAAGAGTACCGTAACAATACTGACATCCCCCTGCTCGTGTGCGGTGATTTCAACTCAACCGGAGACAGCTCGGTCTACGAGCTATTGTCTATGGGACGTGTTCCTCCCAACCACCAAGAGCTGTCATCCTTCCAGTATGGTAGCTTCACGAGGGATGGTATTGAGCATCCCTTCAGCTTGCGGGATGCCTACGCCCATATCAAGAACACTCCCGACGAGATGCCCTTCACCAACTACACGCCTGGCTTCTCAGATATCATTGATTATCTGTGGTACTCAACGAACACATTGGAAGTGGTGGATCTGCTTGGCCCGCCCGATGCTGAATATCTCAAGCGGATGCCGGCGTTCCCCAACTATCACTTCCCGGCCGACCACATCCAGATTATGGCCGAGTTCGTCATCAAAGCCAGAAAGGATAAGAAGTCGCCGCACCCGGAACCGGATTTTGGATCAGGAAGTGGGCAAGGCCGGTAGACCGGGGCGTCTGACGACTTGTTTCCAGTAGTTTAGTCTTGAAAGGCAGTCGCGCGTTAACGTTCAGGGAAATTCTTTTGCCGGAGTTTAGGATTGCGATGCTTTTCGCGAATCGGAGGAACTGGCGGGGGGATGGTCTTTTGGCGAGGGAGGCGAAAGTTCATGAGATGACAGCAAACACAAAACAACCTAAGAGAAACGGAAGGAAACATGGTGGGAGGGGGCTTTGGGGCGGTTCTTCATCGTCGGAAATGCATCGTCTGGGGCTGTGGGTAAGGCGGGGTGGAATGGGGGGACGGGTGAGGCTTTTGTAGATGGGCGGGTTGTGGCACATATCACGAACCAGCTGCGTTTTCTCTTGCGTTCAAAAACTGCGTCTTTCTGATGCCTTATATGAAGTGATGGAGTACATCTCTGGCGCTGCTGATGAATCTTGAAGAGGAGGTCACATGAGACCACTGGGTGAGATCTTACCATCTTGGCGAGGGCTCATGTTGCATGTCTCCGATCGGATCTGGCCGAATGGCTAGGGACGTCTTGCCGCTTCTGTCATATCGACTGTACAGATTCTTTCGCGTTGCATCTCAAGCTTTTTTCCTCTGTTGATGAAGTTCGCAAGGCGGATGGCATTGACGCATATCACCGAATAAGGTACTCACTCACTCACTCACCCCTGTCCGTGTCACCTGCTTTTTGAACTGTTCGGGGCGTGATGTCTCGATTTCATCCCATCTTCTCAGCTGCGGTGGCCTTATTTTCTTACTTAAAAGTCATCTACACCTCGTGGAACTTGCACAGTTCCCACACGTGCTAGGCTCATACCAACATTTTCTCGTTCTCGCGTCGTCGGGCCGCTGACCCCATATGAGCCACTGATATCGGGGAAAGGGAAAGCTTACAAGGTGTCACAAAGATAAGAGCAAGCTTTAAATACCTAGGTCCTAGACAAGTGAGTGAGGGAGGGAGTGAGTGAGTGACCGAAGCTTGTGGTGTTCCCCCTCATCTCCCCACCTTTCCGGCAAGTCTGGGATCGCTTCTCAAGGGACCTTGGATCTAGCGCTGACGGCTTGGTAGATTGGCTAGCTGTCAAAGGTACAAAGAAATTCGGCATCAGCAGCTCACGAATTGTCCTTTTGTCTTCCGATTGACACAATTGACACGGCTACATCATCATACGGAGACCTCAACTCATTGGCCCTTTAGTGCGAGTCGACTATTGGGATTCAAACGGCACAAGCGGGTAAGATCCGAATGCACGATGCAGGAGACACGTTGGTTTCCCGGGTTCGAGGTTCCCACTCTGGCAGGGAATGTGAAGCCCCAAGTGCTTATATCAGATTTGATGGATTTCGCTGACGACACTCATTTCTCTAGACCGTTTCAGCCGGCTTATTCTCGACGACGATCTATCGGGGACGCGTCTTAATGAGATAAAGCAAGTGCGGCGCCCGGGATTCTGGTTTCTGTGAACTTTCATCACCGATTTTGAGATTCTCATCGCCATCGACTATCCCACCATTGAAGTCTCACGTATCAGATACAAGATAGGACGCAAATGGCCTCCGAGACCTACCTCGTAACAGGCGGCTGCGGCTTCCTGGGCAGCCACATTGTCGAGAAGCTCCTGGCCGCTTACCCGACCGCCCGCATCGCCGTTTTCTCACGCAACCCGACAACAAACACCTTTCCCGGCGTCACGTACCACGCCGGCGACATTGCCTCCCTTAACGACGTCGCCAAAGTCTTTCGGGAGGTGAAGCCGACGGTGGTGTTTCACTGCGCGGGAATGATGACGGTGGGACGCAAAGTCATGACGGACGCGTTCGTGAGGGCGATTAACGTTGACGGGACGAGACATGTGCTGGATGAGGCTAAGAGAGCGGGCGTCAAGGCGTTTGTGACAACGAGCAGTGCTAGTGTGGTGCAGAAGGAGATGTTTAGGGATATTGAGGGGGGCGATGAGAGTTTGCCTATTGCTGAGGAGGGGGATGATACGTTGGCTTATCCCAAGACCAAGGTGAGCCTGGATGCTGTCTCTTTCAAGCGGGCTTCTTTACTGATGAGCTTCATAGGCCGCCTCGGATAAGATGACTCTAGAGTACAACGACCCATCCGGCATGCGAACCTGCACCCTCCGCCCCGCGGCCGTCCACGGCGAACGCGACAACGACATCACCCCTGCCATCCTCCGCAACCTCCGCCTCGGCCGGAACAAGATGCAGATCAGCACCAACAAGAACCTCTTCAGCACAACCTACGTAGGCAACGCCGCGGACGCACACCTCGCCGCGGCAGCCAAGCTCCTCAACGCACCGGACGGCGTCGCGGGCGAAGCCTTCTTCATCACCAACGGCGAGCCGGTCCCCTTTTGGGATTTCAGCAGGGCCGTGTGGCGGGCTGCCGGGGACGAGACGAGGATTGAGGATGTGAGGGTTATTAATATGATGTTTGCGCTGGCGTATGTGTGGGTTTTGGAGTGGGTTTATTGGTTCAAGGGGGAGGTGCCGCCTTTGACGAGGCAGGTTGTTAGGTTTTCGGGGATGAGTAGGTGGTATGTTATTGATAAGGCTAAGGAGAGGTTGGAGTGGAAGCCAGAGGTTAGTCAGGAGGAGGGAATTAGGAGGACTGTTGAGTGGTTTCTTGAGAAGGAGAAGAGGGAGGCGGCGGGGGGAGGGCAGTGAATTTGATGTGTGAGGGCGAAGGTGGTAGTATCTCACGAGCATCTCTGGACACCGTTGTTGTGAAGGATGCATGATAAGCTACCGTGGTCTTGATCTTTAGGGTGGTGGTACTCGGTGTTTCTTTTACTGTTTTCATCAACTTCTATGTCGGATCCCATCACTTTATGCTCCTTTCTGGTAAGGCGCAGCATCGCCAGAGGGTAGTCCACGCCACATGAAGGCCAGAATGATGTTGCATTCACCTCTGTCATGACCATTTGCTCATTACTGTGTTCATCAACGAAGACCGCTGTCAAGACATTGGCTACAAATGAAATTGAAATTGAAAGCTTAAATAGGACACAAGTACTTGAACAATTCCCTCTACCTGAACCTCAACCGCAACCGAAGAGACTCACCGCCCTTGACTCGCCATGCTCTTCTCGGACGCAGTGGCTGACCGTCTCTCACAGCGTCGCTCGGGTTCTGGGCCTGGTAAAGGGTACACAAAGCCTCGGACCCGAGTCACCAAATTACCTTCCGCGTGATCAGCGCTGAATCTGGCGTGGTGGTGGTCTCGCAGGGCTCGTCACGGGTGTCAAGTCCTGAACATTGAACGTTAAAGGTCTGCCTCAATTATCCGTTGAATCCCAACGAAGACTTACTCTGCGTTTGCTCCTGACTCGAGGCACATTGTCCACTTCCTCGTCATCGGAATCCGAGTCTCCATGGTGCTCTCCGTTGCCGACTGGCTGCGTGTTCAGCCAGGTCATGATTTTAAAAGCCGCCTGGCCATCTCCAGTCTCTTGGTAATAGCGATGAAGAAGGGCTCCTGTCTCCCGTGTCCGAGGATGGTACGGACCGAGGTGTTCGGTCTCAACCTCCAAGACCTCCCTCATCAATACAGCCGCTTGAGGTGCAGCGTTAACAGCACTTAACACTGAAGCAAGCTCCTTCTTGTTGTCCAGGGTTTCTTGGCTCTCTTCGCCCGGGTCCTCGCTTTGTCTTTGCAGCAATTTCTCATGGACTTGGATTGCTTGAGGGAACATCCCTAACTTGACGAGATCCATAGCCAACAGGAGCTGCGTCTGGTGGGTTCTGACATCTCCCTCACCAAATGCGTTTTCTTGATCCCTGAGAAGATTCTGCCGTAGATTGATAGCCTCCAGTATGGAATCCTCTCTGCCTTGGCGTGAGAGGAAAGTTGAAGCGTAACTTCTGATCGAGAATATGGCATCCAGGTCTGCCATAACTTTTGCCTCTTCCAGTCCATCTTCCAGACGACTGTAAGCTTCTTGGATATCGCCTACTCTCCACAAGGCGTCCGCAACGTTACCGACGGATACGAGATAGACGTCAGTCGCAACCGCGTCATTATACACCTTTTCGTTACGTATGGCCAGGACGTCTTGCTGTTCAGAGAGAGCTTCCCCAAACTTGGAAGCAGCAGTGTAGCTGTGACCCAAATTGACTCTTGCTTCGTTGGTTTGAGGATGACCTTCTCCCCGAACTCGCCGCCACGAGGTCACGGCCTCTTCTCTGAGCCTGCACACCTCTTCCTTTTGTTCTTGAGTGTGGGCGAGCAGGCTTTTGGTGTCGACAAATCGGTCGAATGCATGCAAGGTGTCAGGGTGATCGACACCGAGAAGCTCAAGCCTCGCTTTGTGGACTTTCTTCCGCAATGACAACGACTTGAGAAGCTGGCCGTCCCAATCATAACTGTCACCCAGCGCACTTTTTGCTTCAAGAATGCGCAGACGCTCTCCTGCGATGACAGAAACCCTTCCCTGCAGATCCCGCACGGTTTCTTGTCGCAGTTCGAGAGCCCGACGTTGGCCTCCGGATCCGTGGAGGAAGTCTGCCACCAAAAGCCGTGTTCGCACCATCTTGGGATCATCGACGGGCAAGTTATGTGAGCCACACGTAGCAAGGGCCGCCTCTGCCATTGCCAACGCCTCACTTCGCTGCCCGGTTGACCATAGAGAGTCCGCGTGGTTGATTTGAGCAGACCAGAGATAATCGAAGCCTGCTCCCCACTGTTGATAGGCTTGGACAACCCCGGGTTGATACCTCAGTGCTTCTACGTGATGGCCGGCGTGAAAGTAGCAGTCGGCGAACTGTTCATTAACTTGCAGAGTCAATGAATCGGGTACCGATGGGTCCTTGCAGATTTCGATGGCTTCCTTCAGAATATCTCCCGCGTCTCTGAAATGACCTGTTGATGAATATGCGTTTGCAAGTATCAGCATGATCTCTAGGCGTCTCTCAGTCTCAGCGAGTTCCACCCAATTACCCATCAAGCCATTTGAGGTAAAAGATTCAATATGTGGTATCATGGATTTCTGAAGATCAACACCCAAAGGGTTGTGTATCCGTGATGCAGTCGTAGAGACTGGCTCATTGGCCAAGGCAAGTGCTGATAGGCAAGCTGCTTGATAGGCATACTTGTTTCGATTCTCTGTCGAGAGCGACTCCCTGCAATACGTCTGAACGAGCTTGTTCATCGAGTACTTGCTGGAGTACGACGCATCGCAGACGAGCAAACTATAACGGCATAGAGTATTGAACGCTTTGCGGAGACCGGGTGTGCGCCACTGGGCACTTTCGGGATCCAAAAGCGGCACAAGAGGTGCCCAGTGTGACCACCGCGAAGACTTTCCTTGAGAAGCTATCGTCAAGTTGTTCCAAGCCTCTTCGAAAATTTGCTCCGAAATGCTCTCATTGTGGAAGAAGCAAAGCGTACGAAGAAGCTCTATGGCCTCTGGCGTGTTCTCGACAAGGGCCATGGTGACGCCTAATGCGTGTGAAGCGGACTTGCTCTGACCACTCCCTGATGACAAGTCAGGGAGGTCTCCGAGGTTTGTTTGAAACGCTTGCTGGAAGTCGAAGCGGTAGTCCACAAGGCTGTTTGGGTTGTTGGCAATGTAAGAACCAGCCTGCACAATGGCGAGCGGCAGCCCTCCAAGCGTTTCAGAGGCCAAGGTTTCGATCGCCACCCACTCTTCTTCACTAAAGTCCTTTGTGGAATCCACAAAGTTGTGGATCAGCTCGTTGGCATCCCATGAGTCCATCGGGGAGATGTTTTCGTGAAGATCGCAGGACGAAGCAACCTGTCCATCAATAGTCGTGATGATGATAGTGCCACAGCCTTGACGAGGAAGATAGTCATCCAGATCAGCGGCCACCGAGGGTTCGGCATTGTCGATGAAAAGAATCCAGGGTTCTTCGAGATTGCTCATCCAGAATCTCGTGCGGGAGATTTGTTGAGAGATGTTCTCATCGGAGCTGATGCCCGACGTGTCTATCAATGTTCCGCTGACTCCAGCTACGGCAAGGTAGCTACTGTTCGCCGACTTTCTACTGCTGGCGTCAATGTAGAAGACTGCCCTGAATCTAAAGGTAGTCAATGTTAGCTGAGTTCATATGCTCGATGGAATGAAAGAAGTGTACCTGGATTCATTCTCAACAATTGCTTGCAGACAGGTTTGGCTCTTCCCAACGCCAGTCACACCATGTACAAGAAGTTTCATCGGGGACTGTCTCTCTCTAGCGTCCCACAACACACTGTTTGTCTGAAGGCATTCTGGAAACCTTTTGCGTTTCACAAATTTCGATGCTAGAGCCGGCCTTTCATTGCGAATCTCTGGCCACACAATGTCCGTTGCCCGAGCTCGGGGGCGAGTACCTACTAGGAGTATTTCCACGTGTTAGTCATCGCGTTGGCGTGAATATTAAGAAGATCTGTCACGGAGGAATAGGATGTATGATGTGAGGTGCGTAAAACTCACTACTACTTTGGTGGTCTGAGTCCATCTCAATATCTGACGAAGCAGGACTGGGCGGTAAACCAGGCTTTCTGACAGCTGGCTCTCGCATCCGGGCATGAGTTTTGGAGCTCAAAGATCCCGGCTGCTCGTTGTATCTGGCCTCCTCAGGCGTTCCTATTCCAGTCAATGAGTAGCAATTCCATGAGTTGATAACGCTAGAATTTCCTTACGAATATGAAGATTAGTGTCGGATGGGACAACGCTGATCTCAAGCAATACTTGTTTGGCGTATGCGGCAGCCATTGCAGCCGCGTAAGGCTGCCACTCCTTGTTCTTCTGCTCGTCCCCGTAGTCACATACCCCTCTGATAACACCGACATTAAGACGGTTCATGACTCCTGCTGCCTCCATCTCTAGACCAATTATACTGTATTTGTCTCTCAACACATCTCTCTCCTTGGCATTCTTCATCAATTTGTCACCGGAGCCGATCGGCCCATACCACACTCTGGTTCGCCTGTTGTCTGGCCGTGGTTCCCGAAGAACGGCGGCTCTCTCTCCACTCGAAGTCGTCTCGTTCAGCTGGTCTTGCGATTGACCAGGATCCGTGAAGTTTCCTTTCGAGTGGTCTTTGTGTTGCATGGCTTTAAAGTGTTCCACGAAGCTGTTAATATAACACATGGGATCCGGGATCTTGATCTTTGAGAAAGCAGACGTTACAACGGGATTCGTAGGAAGTTGGCTTCGTCCATCATGAAGGAGCTTGAGTCCCTCGGATGTTTCTTTTCCGAGATGGTAAGCCACAATAGCAGGGACTTCACCTTCGGAGTCTGCAACGAGGACGTCTCCAAGACGGATGTCTCGTTGAAGGCTTGGAAGCCCTGCTGCGACACCAACTAGTAGCGTAAACCAGAGTCTGGGGAATAGAATCTTCAACTGGCCAGCAAGACTGGCGGCTTGCTCTGTACCATATATTTGCCCAGAGGGAAAGCTGGCGATGACAACGTTGTGCCCGCACATGCGACCTGCGATGAGGGGGTAGTCGTGACCTTCTCCCACTGGAAATCTGCCCGTATGGACATCGTCGAGCATGTACATGGCTGCCTGAGCCTCGATCTCAAGCGGGGCAATCCATGCCACCTTGTAGTTGTTGTAATCTAGCTGAGCCATTTTATCACACTCACATGGGAGATGATAATGTGGCTCTTGGGACCGGTCGGGTTATACGAATGAAAAAGAGCCAAAAAAAAAAAGAAAGAGAATGATAAGGTGACGAGTTTACATGCGAGATGATACAGACGAGTTGACGGAGACGAAACGACTGATAGTTAAGTACTTAGATATGACTCGAGATGATGGAATGGGACTTGAAGTCTATCGCCGACTTTTCGATTAGTTGCAAAGCCTTTCTGAGCCTTAGTTCTCGATGCGACGTGGAGACACTGCAGCTCAGCCCTTAGGCACGCAGCAGATAATTATGGTAAGGTAGTATGGGTAAAGTTGGCAATTGGTGGAATGGCCAACCGGAGTGTGTACCCGTAACCGCTGTCTCACGTAACCGCCGTGCTGTCCGTCGAAGGTTGCGTTCGCCTCTCCGTCGGAACTACAGCCAATTGTCATCTTCGTGTTGCTCGGCACTGAGCCTATTTCCGAGTTGACTTGCACCAACAGCCGGAGAACCGCCGCCGATCCCATACCGTCGGACGGAATCAAGGCATGGAAACCGGCGTGCCTTCTGCTACTGCATGTCTTCAGCATCCGATCTGCGAGTAAGATGTTTCACAAAGCTGCAAGTCAAAATCGATTGGAAGACAATGCATTGTAAAAGCTCCTGCCGGGGTTTGCCTACATGTATCTACCCGTAGACGCCTTGCGTGCTGAAAACAGAGCGTTCGTCCGATAGGAAGCCGACGTCGTACGGCCGTGTGCCGAGATGCGCCGTGAGAGTAAGACCGATATCAAGGCAGAGTTGGTACCTGTAAGTTTCCATGGAACTAACTATAGTACCAAGCATGAAACACATCTGTTCAAACCGTCTTCTTTTATTGGAAGCTATAGGCGGAGTACCTCATTTACCCGCCTTCAATATGGCTAGAGTTTCCGTGAAAGCCTTGGCCAATTGCACACCCCCACGCCAGATATCGTTATGCGCACCATCAAGCTCGACAAGGTGTGTCTTGCTCTCTACCTGAAGTAGAGAGCCCAGAGTAGCTTCTATCGACTCGACCTGGTCCCAAGGCACAAGCCCGTCATTCCTGCTGTGCGCCAAAACAAAGGCCTCCAAGTCAAGTGCTGCGTACTTCTTGACATCGACCTTGGATGGGCTGGCCTCTACTAGTTGGTCTTCCCTCATGGCGTTGAGTACGAGATAGTCATAATCGGGGTTGGTGATATGGAGTAGAGGCAAGTCGTAAATGCCGCTGATTCCCAAGACGGCCGCGGGCTTGGGCACGGCGGGGTCCTTCAGAGTCTCCAAAGCTGTGAAGAAGGCGATTTGTGCACCGACGGAGTGGCCAGAGACAATGTAGTTGCCGTCGATCGGATAGTGCTTGTTGAGGTCTTTCAGCGCGGCGACCGCGTCGTTGAGATGATCAGGCCATCTGGCGTTCTGAAGCTCATTCGTGGGCGTGTTGTTGGGTTGAACACCTGGAAGTGCGGAAAGTCGGTAGTCCAGGGATGCGATTCCTGCGATTTGAGTTGCGAGCACGTCGGAGTTGTTTGCTTCGAGGGAAGCAATGGCGGGAAGGATGTCTGTTGAGTTCTGGGCGAAGTTGCGGTAGAAGCCTCCGTGAATGTACACCAGCCAGTATTTGTCAGTCGCCGCGGTCTCATTAGTCGCGGCCGATGGAATGTAAACGTCGTAGACCTGGCGGACGTTGCGCCCGTATGAGTAGGTTGTTGTCTTTGCCGTAGCCATGCCGGCACCGACTAGCATTGAAGCAGCGGAGGCAGCTGAGAAACGCATTTTGATCACCGTGGTTGCTTTCTCAAAGAGTCTTGCTGACGTTGAGGGAACCTGAGTTAGGTATATATGTCATTGATTCTCGCAATCCCAGCGCGAGGGGCACGTTGCATTCCGTTTTCCTCAACCGGGGTAACTAGACTCGAAGGGTGGGATTCGTTCGCCTAGCTTCTAGGGCGAATAACGGGTGTGAAGACCAGCCTAGCCCAAATATCAACGGATTGTCGGTGACGCAGTTCCACTATCTTTGATGCCAAGGATTGTATCATTTGCCTATCAGCGGCCGAGAAGACTACCCCGGGAATCTTAGCGGATGAGACTTCACTTATCGCGCAGTAGATTCGACACATCCGGCATCCGCTCCGCGTGGGCCGCCGATAATCCCGGATCACTAGTGCTGACAGTGACATGGAGTTGAAAGATTCTTCAATGACGACTTGGGACTAATTCTAAGCGAGAACGTAACATGAAGCTGAGATTCTATGGAAAAATGTTGATAGATTCTGCGATACTAGAGCGGGCGTTGTCTTTCATTCGACTTGACCTCAAGCAGCAGCTTTTCAATTCCCAGAATAATGAATTGAAGCCAAACACGGAGCCCCTACATACGGGGGAGGCATGTGGCAGCCACTCGTCTAAACATACTTTACGCCCAGTGACCTTCCTCATGGATCGATATTGACATGTAAACTTTCATATTCAAGTAAGTGGAGATTGAACGCTGTTGAGTTTATCGCAACCAATGAATTCTTGATATTCAATTCGTAGAGGCCTGACCTACTAAGGCCGGGCCCGAGGGCCTTACGCAAGCAATTCTTGAAATGCTTCATCCAACTCCTGCAGAGAGCTCACAATATGAGATTGCCGCTCCTTGATCCAGCTATCGAGATCTTGTAGTGTCTGTTTTGAGTTGCCAAACATGCGTTCCATCTCCTTGGGCTGTGGACCCCCCGACGTGGCTCTATGCCTGATGATTCCAGCCGGGTCAAGCGCTTCTTGGAACTCTGACTCACTCAGAAACTGATATGATCCATCTTCAAGGCCAGCGTGCTCCAAAGTTTCTTTGAATATCCTAGATGCCTCCGCATAAGGGAAGTTGCTGGGGGATACGTCTTCCACCTTGGCGTATCTGACAGTTTCTGAAGCAAAGTGGTGCCCGACACGAAACGGTACTTTGTGCTCCCGCATCAAGAAATCGGCCAACTCTTGAGAGGCGGTCCAGTCAAGATCCAACTCTTTCAGGGATCGTTTGCCGTCAATGACAAGTGCGTTGAGAATCCGTTGCCATTGTGCGAGAACCTTTGTAGTGCCGTTGATGACAGCCAGATTGTGGCCGAGGTCTTTGGCGTCACCGTAGCCAGGAGGAAGGTTATGTCCCTGTATGGCACGACCAACCCCTAAAGTGACAATATGGGATGCGTCGGATCTGGTGTTATTGAGTAGGCCTGGGTTCCTCTTCTGTGGCATAGCACTTGAGACATATGTGTTCTCACCCCCCTCTTGGAGAAGAATCCATGGCTTCGGCTGAGCGTATTGATTCATGACGTCCTGGATGTATGCGCTGGTGTGAAGAGCGATCTGAGTGGCAATGCCACCAAGCTCAACTGGCATCTCAGCCATGGTGATTTGCGCTGCATCGTAGGCGTTGTCGACGACTTGCGCAAAGCCGAGATACTTGGCAATGCGTTCACGGTTGAGAGGCCAACTTGTGCCGTTTAGCACGGTCGTGCCCATCGGACATCGGTCCAATCTGGCATAGAATTGCCGTAGTCTCTCCGCATCGCGATGAAGGCCTGCGATGTGACCTAGCAAGTAGTGGCCGTATGAGTTGGGTTGGGCTGCAACACCGTTGGTGTAATTCGGTACTAGTGTCGAGGCATGAGTTTCCGCCATCTCAAGCAGGCGAGTTGTTGTCGCGTGGAGCTGTGCAGCCAACTTCAAGACTGCATCGCGAAGAATGGCCGTACAGACCGTGGCAAGCATGTCCTGGCTTGAACGACCGGCGTGTAGGAGAGTTGTTTCAACACCAGCTGCTTCGATAAGGAGAGGTTCGAAGGTGATGACGAGGCTAGGACGCGGCGCGCCGGGTTCGTCGCCCGAGTCTAAGAGTTTTTGAAGTCCACGGCTGATGCGACGGGCCACATCTCGTTCCAAGAGACCTTCGGAAGAGTTGATCACGGCGCTGGCTTTGTTGATTTCACCGAGCCAATAGTACGTGTCCCGGCCAGGGACCGGGAGGTTCTCCGGCGAGACTGCCAAACCCGGCATGATATTTAGCAGAAAGCGAAAGCAGGCAAGTTGTTGATCAGGTTGTGGAAATTGAGTCTTGTTGCTTCAACTTTATCGTGGTTTGACTTTAGTCAAAACTTTTGTGCTCACAGCTGTGTTGGAGATAAGGTAAACCCAGTGAGGGGAGATGACAGAGTGGACCCGAATGAGGCGATGCATCTGCAGTGTCGATCGGAGCCGACTCGGTTATCAAGCCGGAGTCAGCACACTGGGTTTAGCACTTGCTGAATTTCGAGGATCATTTCGTATCCTTGATTTCCAACTTGCACGGTTGAACCTCGATGAATCAGAACGTGAGAAAAAGCAGCGTAACATCCTTGGAACTTGGGATCCAAAGTCCGGTTCGCAAAAATGAATCGGCAGAACCAAGCCTCCTGAGCTTCAAAGTTTTGCGAAGCTTCCGTGTTACCTCATGTTCCCGATCAATCGCTGATACAGACAAAGGGACTTTCAAGGCATCGCAGTGGTTGATGGATTTGAAATTGTACCATTTGTTCATTAAGTTCCTACTTTACTGTATGGATACCTCGTTGTATCGCGTCAGTGCATGCTCGGGTATCTCGGACGTTGTCAAGTGCCTCATGTGCTCTTGTCTCAAAGTCATCATCTTCGTACAAGTCCTTCTTAAGAGTTGTTGCCAGTTGCGACACCCCAGAAGTACGCCGACCAAGCACCCAGAATCAACATAACCAGAGACCCAAAGCAAATCATAGAGATTCGCTTGTTGCGTGCCCCGTTGTCCTCGTAGAAAGCCCTCTTTCTCTCATTCCACAACTGGCCATTAGCCCTACGCTGCTTCCTAGTCCATTGGAGGTTACCCAGATCGATGGACCACCACGAAAGGACACCCAACATGATTGAGACCAAGACAGAAGCAGCGGCGAGAACGGCATAGACGATGACAACGTGGTCGTAGCTG